GGGGCTAGGGCAGGACGGGGGCGGGGCTCCTCCCGTCCTCTTTTTTGCTTGCTGAAATATGGTAACCCTAAAGTAAGTCATGTGGTTAAGTACATTGCCGAATTGGGACCTTAACTGCTAACTCATTGAGGGCCGAATCCCGCAAACATTTGCTACTGAATGCACGGTTTACAGCCCTAAGGAATCTTATTTAAGTCACTCCACATGGTAAGCATGATGCTCAATGGCAAGGCGGGGAGGGATAGCTCAGTGGTTTGAGCATTGGCCTGCTAAACCCAGGGTTGTGAGTTCAATCCTTGAGGGGGCCACTTAGGGATCTGGGGCAAAATCAGTACTTGGTCCTGCTAGTGAAGGCAGGGGGCTGGACTCGATGACCTTTCAAGGTCAGTTCTAGGAGATAGGATATCTCCATTAATTTAAATTTAAAGTGGTTGCAGGATTGGGCCCTTAGGCATTAATTTGCAAATTTGTAACTTGCAACAGGGCTTGGGTCAAAAGGGGTAACCATATCTTTATGATGCTCATTATTTGTAATGTGCCACTTCTGCTGTGCCAGGAATTCCATGGCATTTGATGTAGCCCCGCAAGCAAAAACATTTCAACTTTTGAGAGCAAAATTTTTCTTTACTAAAGGTCTGATCCTGAGAGCGCTCAACTCCATCAAAGTCACTGGGAGCTGACGGTACCAGATCCCTTTTAGAGCAAGATTGGGCCCTAAAAATTCCCTGTGGGGGGGGGGGGGAGGAAATCAGCAAAAGGTACTTAAAATGGAATGTTATTTTTATAAATATGTGATGTTTTACTGTGTTTTTTTTAGGTTACTCTTTAAGTGACATCCAGGCCTGTGCACAGCGTGGCTTTAACGTTGGTGGAAATATCTATGGAGTTTATATAAGTTTGGGAATGTCAGCTGCTGGCTGTAAGGCTGTTTTAAATGAAATTGGAGGTAAACCTAAAATAGTCTTGTGCTTCGTATGTTCTTTTTTTCTGTGAGAGCAATATACGCTCAATTTCAGACGTAAAATAGATCTGCACGCAGGAAATGGGCTTTGTTTGATGGAGTTGGATCTCACACCATTGACTTTAACAGAAGCAGGATCGAGCCCTTTACTCAAGGAAGCGGTGCTGCACCCTGCACTAGTTGCAGTTTCTGGTACTTTTCAATGATAGCCCCAGTAAGGGTAGGCTGATTTATCATTCTTTCCCTTGTGGCTAAGTGAGCCCCTCTTTCCTTGAAAATCTATGAATGAATCTATTATTTGTTTGTTTTTTTCATTTACAGTAACGTCAAATGAAAAACTATGGGCCAAATCTTGAAGTCCTCCCTCAGGCACCACTGCCTTTTAAGTCAGAGGGCGTGCCAGATATTTGGCTGTATATAAATAATTGTGACCAAGATCGCTTTCCCGTTTTGTTTCGAATTGGGATATGTAACTGGCAGAGTCTGCTTTGCTCCTAGCTTTTTATTCTATTTGTGATCCACTAAGAAATAGCAAAGCTGAGCTGGTCACTTTACCCCTTTTTGCAGACAGCATCGGGCAAACGCAAGTTGTGGAAGATTTCATAGCCCTCGTTCGTGGAGGAGGGAGTGAGCATATCACGACACTTGCCTACAAAGATCTACCAACTGCTCAGCTAATGCAGGAGTGGGGAGATGCAGTACAGTACAACCCTGAAATCATAAAGCTAAAGGTACTGTAAATAATACACCATAGAGCGTCAATTAGTCGAGTGCCATGGGGGACTTGGAATACATTCAGATAAGTGAGGTTTTGAATAATCAGGGAGATTTTCAGAGTAACTAATTGACCTGTTTTAGGTAACAAGGCATGTCAGATAATTGAAGTTTGAAGAATCTAGACAGTGCTGTATTAGAAATATACCTGATGGCATTTAATATTAGAGTGTAATAAAATGACCTTCCTTTTTTCTGGATTACCCTTGCCTTTCATATTTACCATGCACTGTATTGTATAGTAGCAATTCTGTTTGGTTCCGAAAAGCAAAGAGTGCACCAAAAAGTCTGGCTGTTTGTCCAGACTATCTAAAGCTCATTAATCTGTAAAACTAAGATAGGATCTCATGAGAATAGATTTTTACTAGGCTTTCCTATTTCCAGTCTTGGCCAGGTCTCGAATGTATAGAGGAGCATGAAAATGAAAAATAACAAGGGGAAAAAATGTCAATAGAGCCTCAATTTTGAATGTCACAATTAGTTCATTTAATGTTTGGGTGACTATTGTGAAGGCAGAAGAATATTCTTCTTAGGTATGGCCCTGCACTAGGGCTGGTTTTCATTGGACTGCTCTTCAATGGAAAATTGGGTTTTGGTTAAATAAATGTTTTTGGGAAAAGTATCTGTTTTTCACAGAAAAAAATATTTTTTGTCAAAAAACTGAACACTCAAATCCCAAAATGCATTCTAAAAAGTGGAAAATGTTGATTTGGAATCTCTCCTCCACCCCCGCCTCCCAGTGCCTCATAGGATCTATAGGTGCCTCATATTCCTCTATAGGCCTGATTCCCCTGGACAGACTACATCTTCCATGATGCACTGTAACTAGGGACTCCCCATGGTGCGCTGATGTCTCAGCAAGCGGGAAGACCATGGTGCATCATGGGAGATGTAGCCCAGCCAGAGAGCCTGGCCCAGGGAGGAAAATGAGGGCATAAGGCAGCTGAACTATGACTCTCATGAGGCACTATGGCAGCAAATCCATATAAATTTTTTTGGTTTTTGACTGAAACTTGTCAATTAGAAAAATGGAAATGTCTACATTTTCTGTGGAACCTTTTGATGAAAATGTGTTCTTTTCCCTTTCGCTGAAAATTGTCTTTAAAAAAAGCCATTTCCAACCTGCTCTACTCTGAACCCAAAAGCCTTGATTCAAACCCACTAGAGCTTTGAGGGTGTTCATTTGAAATCTGGATCCAGATACAATTCCTTAGATTGGGCCCATAGCTAGTGTTTGTTTTATCTCTAGTGGAAATATGTTTAATACTTTGGCAATCTACGCATTCAAGGACTAATCCGAAGCCCCCTGAGACACAGAAAGACTGTTGACTTCAACAAGCTTTGGATCAGCCCTTTCTACATTTGACTATATTGGTCAAATAGGTGTTCATTTTTCCAAGGCCTCATAATTCACTCTGGCTTGGCACTGATTGTTATGTTGTTTTTCCCCTTTTTTGTAATAAAAATTTCACATACTGTCCATGTTTTCAGCTTGCCCTCAACCCACTCAACTCTTCTGCTTTGACAATATAATGCATTTCTTTGTTAACTAGAACTCACCTCAGGTTTAAAGGAGGATATAAAATCAACTGTTTCAGGTAATCTACCCATGATTTCATAATTGCATTGGGTCCCAGAGATTTCAGTGTCCGTACTTGTGCAAGTTACACTTAGTATCCCATTTAAAGAAAATTCTGATAACAAACTAAGGCTAGGGTTATTTTCTAACCCTTTAGATTCTAACCTGATATCAGTGACCAGATCAGCTAGTAAAAACCACAGATTGATATAATTTGCATTTGGGCTATTTAGCCTTTAATTTCCCTGCTAATATCCTTGAGGAGTGTGAAGATCAAAAACACCAGTAGTGTGTGACTAAACATGAGACCTAAAAATGCTTCAATAGGGAAAAAAAATAAAGCAAAGCGGTTCATAAATCATCTACTAAAAGCACTTGGCAGGTCATTCTCAAGCCATTTCCTTATTTATATGATATGATTTCAAAAAGTAAAAGGTGGATCAAAGATCATTGTTGAGAAATGGAGACGCAGTGGCAGTAACAAGAAAGTACCTTTTTCCTTAAAATGCATTTGTCCTCTGAATGACATGACCCTGTACACATGGTATTGTGGGGCTTCATGTTTGCTTTGTCCTGATGGCATGCATAGCAAATTTGCTCAGCTTACAATAACGACTTTGGGCTGGATCCTCAGGTGACACAAACTGAGGAACTGGTCCTTTTATTGTAACTCCCAACCATGCAAACTTAGCCTAGGAATCCTCAGACGTTATTCTTACTGGCTACTGTGTTATCATCTGCCAAGAAGAATCTGTGGGGCAAATCTTACTCTCTGTTATATCTGGTTCTACTCTGTACCAAATTCTACCCTCAGCAACCCCATGATGTTCAGTCTGTGCCCTCACTTACACGTCTGCATGCCCATTATAGTCGTGGGGGTGCAGAAGTGCAACTGATGGCAGAATTTGTCCCTGCAGCAGGAACTTCACATAATTATTCTGTAGAGGATGCACAAAATAGAGTCCAGCTCTTTCTCCCAAAGCCGTAGCAGCTCTGCAGAGCTGATAGGAATAAAATGGTGCTATATAACAGGTCAGTTCTTTCAGACAAATACCTGGATCCTTGCCTAAGGAACTTCAGACTTAGATGACAATTACACACTACACACCACTTTGGGAGGCATGTAGCAGATGTTTCACTTCACTACACACTACAGCGAAACGCACACACTGTGTCCACACTGTGGTGTGTAACTACACATGTCAGTGAAAAGCTCTGGCCAACGTGAGGCAGCAGGGAAAGGCTTCAGCAGCTCCCCGTTTCCGGAGCGTTTCACTGAAGTGAGGAAAGGCTCTGGCAGGGGGGAGACTTTCCTTGTGGTGGGGAAGGGCTCCAGCAGCTGGGAGCTGGCAGAGCCATTCCCACTGCTGGAATCTTTTCCAGGGAAAGGTTCTAACAGCGGGGATGCAGCAGGATGCTATTAGGGTGACCAGACGGCACGTCTTCCCCCCCCCCCACCCCTCCGTGTCCCGATATTTCATGTCTCTCATCTGGTCACCCTAGATGTTATACTGCTAAAAGTGGTAGTGTAGAGAGGGAGGTACGGCTTGGGTGAGCAGAGGGCCGTGTAGGGGATGTACTCGAGTACATACCCAGACCTTTCAAGCGTGTCCTCATTGTCCTGAGCTGTGCCTCACCACCTACACTGCTATTTATACCCGTGCAATCGGGGGCAACATGGGTCTATTCACTAAACACGGCTGAAAGAAGTGTAGAGGCACCCCGCATTTGAAGGTAATGGGAACATTTCTGTTGGCTTCATGGAGTAATCGGGCTGTAAATACACTAGTGACTATGCTGCAATTAAAAAACAATCCACAAAGTCATTGTACTGTAGAAAAAATGTTTCCTGGCGGGTTTTCAGGAAGAGCCCTAAAGGTAGGGTTGCCACCTTTCTAATTGCTGGATCCCCGAGACCCTGTCCTTGACCTGTCTCTTCCACCCCCTAAGGCCCCACCCCTGCCCTGCCTCTTCCCCCAAGATCCCACCCACGTTGCTCGCTCCTTTCCCCGTACGTCGACTCTTGTTGGAATGGAAGTTGCTGCAGCCTGACAAGGAACCTGCCTGAAGGTAGGAGGCAGCCCTGGCTGAACAGGGGCTGGCTTGGGTTAATGACTCGGTACCTCCCCCTGCCCTGTGGTAACCGGACTTTTGGTGTCCAGTCAGTACATCTGACCGGACATTGCCCAGTCCCCTTTTCAACCAGACTTACTGGACACCTGGCAACCCTAAATGGCACCTGGACTCAGAAGCCAAAAACCGGACTGACCAGGTAAAACGCAGACTGGTGGCAACCCTACCTAAAGGAGGAGCAAGAGACAAGTCAATATAAGTAGTGTTGGTTAAAAATTTTCAATTTTTAATGAATTTTCATAAAATTTCAAAATCAGAAAAATACATAGGAAAACTTTGGATGAAACTTTTGTGAAATTCCCTCCCAGTTTTCAGACAACTCTCTAGCTGGTCAAAATTTTGAATCGGAGGTCAGGGGGGCAAATGAAAACATTTTCATTAAATTGCTGTTCTCTTTTTTCCACCAGCCCTAACCACAAGTTAACTGGAAAGCTGGAGCTGATGGAGAGACTATTTATTCTATTCCATGGATGACTAATATGTTCCCGTTTTAGAAAGCTTTTATTGACATCTCCACAGAACACAAATCTCATAACATAGGGGCTACATTTTATTCATAAGCTGAGGTCCCACCATAGCTTGCAGTGCAGGGCTGACCTTATAAAAACATCTTGACCTTTGGAATGAATACAACAATTGTTTCTTCCCCTCTTTCCTCCCTCCCCCTTAGGCAGAACCCCTGTCTGAACTGGTGACTTCAACGGACTTTGCAAATGCAAATACACTAAGGGAAAATATGAAGCGTGCCCTTGTAGAGTTTCAGCTGGAGACCAGTTCCTGTCATTGTGCTCCATGCCATGGCAATGGAATTGCCTTTCTGAAAGGTAGAATCTCACATCTAATACTCCTCTAGTATAAACGAACAGAGGAATTGTAGGTAGGAGGCTTAACTGGCTGGTAATCTGTGTTCATTCCTTTCTCCTATTCATCCTGGTTAACATTATAAAGAAAATATATTTAAAAAAAGAGTAATTTCATTCATAAATCTCCATGGTTTAGTAGCAGCCGCAGCAAATTAACACCATTGTAGCAAGTGTCTTTATCAGTTACATTTAAGAAACAGTTCCCACCTCAATTATTCATCAAAAGAAAAGTTCATGTCTTTAAGTCTCTTCCTTTGCTTTCAAGATCATTACCATCATCCTAATGTCTCAGCATTAATTAGTGTTGTGTTGTGAAGATGAAAAGCACCATATAAGTGCTAAGTACTGGTATCATCATCATCATCATCAGAGTTGTTCAGTATTGTATCCTTTCCTTCCCTCCATTTTTAATAGAAGCTGCCCTCATTTAGAAGCTGAGAATGATTTAAAAATGCTGGGGGAAAGTAATTAAATTGAATAAAAAACACATTTTCTAAATGGAGATGTATGGTGTGTGGGTTTTGCTAATAAAAGAAGATATTTTTCAAGTACCTAATTCAAATTTGCATCTGCAAAAGTCCTGATGAGAATCTGGTTATCATCTAAATGTATCTAATGCAGAAATTATTGATTCAGGTACCAGCCAGTTTGATTATAGCTCTTAACTGATTCCTCTGGTGATTACACTTGTTTCAATAACGTATTAGCCCTTGAGTCCTGTTGTCATTCCATTTAGGATAATTTGCCATGAAAGATGTTTTCAAATGACCACTGTTGTTAATACCCAGACAATGAATTCTGGGATCAGGGCCCCATTCTGCTAGTTGCTGCACATGCATATAAAGAAAAGCTGGTCTCTGCCCCAGAGAGGCAGCCTCTTCACCTGTCTATATATGGAAACGGGAGTCTATAGAGAAATGTTCAGTATAATAATATACTGTAGTGAAGTACAGTAATCCAGCTTTCACTGTTCTCCTTCTAGAAACTCGCTGTGACTGTATATGTCCTATAGGATATCGTGGTACTGCCTGTGAGATCACAGAAAGAAAAGGTAAGAGTGATTAGAAAGATGATTAAAGAAATGTAGATCCCAGGTTAAAGAGAAAAACAACCCTAAAAGGAGAGTTGAAATGGAATGGCCAGTCATATGATCATGTGTGTAAGTTAATTAGGTCTTTTTATGTGATCATTAAGAGCTATGTGGCCTAGTGGCTAAATCACAGGGCTGAGAATCAAGACTGTTAGGGGCTGGAGCATTTAAGTCAAGATGAGTTTTGCCACTGACTTTAGTTCTGCCACCCATTCGCTGCCTAGCCTTGTATTTAAACTATCTGCCTCTGCTTACCCATCTGTGAAATGGATCTAGCTATTGTATTCATTAATCCTTATCATGTCTGTAACTCCATCTGTTACTTACCCTAATATACACACACACACTATAGCTAGCTCCATTTCACAGATGAGTAAGCAGAGGCAGACAGGTTAAATACAAGGCTAGGCCGTGAATGTGTGGCAGAACTGGGCACAGAATTTAGGGTCTCATTCCTGCTCCCTGAAGTCCGTAGCAAAACTCATATTGACTTAAGTGATACAGGCCCAGGCTCTAAGTATCCTGATATATATAGATATAGATTTTAATCTTTCCTTATAAATCCATCCCTTTGGTCCTTTCCTCAGAAGTCCCACCAATGTGACAACATATTTCTGTTGCTCTGGTGTCCAGAACTCAGTGCAATTTTATACATGATTTCACACTAAAGCTGCCTTATTATTTCTGTGCTTTGAGGAGGAGCTGATTTTGAATATGCAGCTCAAACAAGCACTCATATCCCATTATAAACTCATAGCTAATTTGCAGTCTATTATGGGCCCTTGGTCTCCAGCATCTCTGCTTCCCAAATTTCTCCCTTCCACGGAGTAAATGTCTCAGATTATTCTTCCTCAACTATACTACAGCACATTTTAATTTTTCCCAGTTAAATCTCATTTTGTTATTTTCCACCCCTGGTGCTAATGTCCCTAGATCCCTTTGTATAATTTTTCTCTCCTGACTAGTTCATAACTCCTCCCAATTTAGTATCCTCTGCAAATGTAATTGCTATTTATTTCCTTCAGATCATTAATTTAGATGTTAAAGAAGACTAGTTTTTACATCCATCCCTGCAGAGCGACAGTAGACCCCGCCCTGTAATTTGATATATTGCCATTTATCATTGCCCTTCGTTTACCGTCGTTTCTCCAGTTTTCAGTCTAAATGGCTGTATCTTATCCAAGCCAGAGTGACAGACATTTTCAGCTAAAATTTCACAAGGCACAGGGACAACTTCATAGCTAATGAGTCCTATGAGTCTTTAATTGTTGTCACTTACACATTGTTCTGGTCTGCTTACTGCATATGTTACAGCGGCAAAATCTCCCTTAGACTCAGATCCACTTATCAACATAGAACTTCACCTGTATTGAATTTGGCTTACTGAATCTAAAGAGTTTAATTTGTGTCACTTGCATTTTCTCTTTGGGAAAGATGGTCACTTGGTCCTGCTAGTGAAGGCAGGGGGCTGGACTTGATGACCTTTCAAGGTCCCTTCCAGTTCTAGGAGATAGGATATCTCCCCTCAGGAGGCTGATGCCCGGTTGCTGGAATCCTGCCACCTCCTCCCCCATGCTGGAATGCTCCCTCCCCCCCAGCTCTGCGTCCTCCCCTGCAGGGGGCTGGCATCTCTCCTCCCCCACCCCACGTTCCTCCACACCCACACCACACCTTTTTTGACAAAAGTGGGCACTTGTCCCATTTGCTCTTGTCAGCTGATCAAGTCAGCAAAAGCAAATGGGACAAATGCCTCCTTTTGGGAAAAAAAATTGGGACGTCCGGGACAAAGCTTAAAAAAGGGACTGTCCTGGCCAAAATGGGATGTTTGGTCACCCTAAGAAGAGAGCGGGTCTAGCAGGAAAAGTAACTGACAGAAGAGTGTAAGTTAAAGTAGGCCACCTGCTACTTCAGAGGTGGGCAAACTACAGCCCGCGGGCCACATCTGGCCCACGGGACTGTTCTCCCCGGCCTCTGAGCTCCTGGCCCGGGAGGCTAGCCCCTGGCCCTTCCCCTGCTGTTCCCGCTCCCTCGCAGCCTCAGCTCACTGCGCCACCGGCGGAATGCTCTGGGCGGCAGGGCTGTGAGCTCCTGGGGCAGTGCAGCTGCAGAGCCCGGCCTGACCCGGTACTCTGAGCTGCGCGATGCGTGGCCGGCTCCAGCTGAGCGGCACGTCTGCCTGCCATTTTGCAGCCTCACTGCCCACCACCAGTGCTCCAGGCAGCGAGGTAAGGGGGCAGGAAGCCGGGGAGGGGGGTTGGATAGAGGGCAGGAGAGTTCGGGGAGTGGTCAGGGGCCAGGGGTGTGGATAGGGGTCGGGGTGGTCAGAGGACGGGGAACAGGGGGGTTGAATGGGGGCAGGGGTTCCGAGGGCGGTCAGGGAGAAGGGGTGGTTGGATGGGGCAGAGGTCCCGGGGGGGGGACAGTCAGGAAGGAGGGGGGGTTGGATGGGGCGGCGGAGGGCAGTCAGGGGCGGGGGTTCCAGGGGTGGTCAGGGGACAGGGAGCAAGGAAGGTGGATGGGGCAGGTCCGGGGTGGGGGCGTCAGGGAACAGGGGGGATTGGATGGGGCAGGAGTCCTGGGGGGCCGTCAGGGGCAAGACGCAGGGGCGGTCGGATAGGGGGTGGGGGCCAGGCCATGCCTGCCTGTTTGGGGAGGCACAGCCTCCCCTAACCGGCCCTCCATACAATTTCTGAAACCCCATGCGGCCCTCAGGCCAAAAAGTTTGCCCGCCCCTGTGCTACTTAAATATAAACCTGCTAACACCTTTCTCTGGCTCCTCAGAATGTAAAGTGATCCCAGTTTATGTGCCCTTCAGCTCCCCCAGACTCCCTTAGTCTCAACCAGAAGAGGTAAAATCACTATATTTCAGTTAAAACTACCTTGTGTCTTTTCATTGTCCCAGTTGAATGAAATGCAGAGTCTGAACAAGCACCATCAACAATGAATAGAGAATTAGCACCTTTAAATAATTGTCCAGTTTTAAGGGTCCAAGTCAAGATATTCTTAGTAATGCGGACAAGGGGTACTTTGTTTGTATGTAGGTATAATTTGTGTGAGCTGGGAGCACCCCCTTTGGAAAAGAAACCTCTGTTATGACACCCTTTTCTTTCTTCACGGTTTCTCCAGATGTTGCTATAGATGGAAACTGGGGTTGCTGGTCCAGCTCCTCTGCATGCTCTGGAGGACAACGGATGACAAGAAGACAGTGCAATAATCCTGCCCCACAAAATGGTGGCAAGCCATGCACAGGGCCAGATGTTGAAACTATTAGGTGTTAAGGAAAATTCTTAAAAATATGTAAACTAAAATGACTACCACCTTGCAAAGTTAGTGGGAAGATAATTATAACTGACTTGATCAAGCCTCTTTATTCCTCTTTAAGGGCCTGATCCAATGCACACTGACGTCAACAGTAAGATCTAACAGGTATTGGAACAGGATTAGTATTTTTAATATGAGTCATTCTGATTTGACATGCTGCATAATTGTCCTGCAGGATTAAGCGTCCTTGTTTGTTTTAATATTGTGGCTTTGCTATAGGCCTTTATTTCAATGGGCTAATCAAACAAAACTTTATTTCTTGCATTATGTGATACCTGTTGATTTTTTCTTGAGTTTTAATCTAATGTGTTCTCAGGTTCCCCTGAGATAGGGAAAAGGGCATTTTATCTTGGATACACAGGAACGCAGATGTGACTCCTCAGAAGACAGCTGTGTCATGTTGAGCAAAATGCAGAAAATTAAAAACTAAATCCGCATCAGAGCAATAGCATCTAATGTGAAATTTGAGTCAGATGTGGCAATGCTAGCCCAGGTTCCCAATTTACTGGTTTTAACATAAATTGTTCATCCTATTAGAAATCGTCTTGAAGGAAAGAGAATTGAATTGAGTAGTACTCTCAAATACACCAAAGCATCAAATACACTCTCAAATACATGCTAAACTGTGCAATAATTTGTACTCTTATTCATGTGTAGCCCCTGGCCTATTTCACTGGCCCAGCATGAGGTTCTTTAAGATAGGGGAAATCTGCCTTGTGACTTTTTACATAACTTTGGGAAACTGGGCCTGAGGCTCCTCGGTGTGCTCTGCATTGTGTCAGTGTGTATTCACCTCAGACCAGACCCACTCAGACAACCACCAGGAACAAGAGCAAGACTTCATTCTGTAAAGAAACACAGAACAGGATTACAGTCCAGCAGCCTCCTCTCTGCTTGCCTGCCTCTTGCTTCCAGCTTCAGTCAGTGCTGAAACTTCCTGCTGGGAGGGCAGAGGCTACATACTGGCAGGAACCAGGAAGGTCTCCCAACATGCCGCAGTCTGTAGCCCACAATTGATGGTTCCCATGGCTGCTGCTGAAGCACCCAGGACCTTGGGCTGCACATGGGATAAGCTTTCCATAGAACAAATACATTTAGAAGGAGGCTGGAGCATAATATCAAAAAGGCAATTAAAGAAATGAAAATCACGAATTTTGAAGTATGCAACACCATGCCCCAGGTTGAATACTGTATCCCATGGATGTTGTGGCCAAACAGGAAGTAGTGTATGGAAAATGATGTCTCAGAAAGAGGTCATAATGCAAGCCAATCAGCATTCTACTTTACATTCTCCAAAAATATCACGGTCTTGGGAACAGCTCTAGCAATGATGGCAAAACTAGCCTTCATTGTCACAGAGGTGGGCCAATTGCTCCACTGTTTGGTCCCCCTGAACACCTCGGTGTTTCAGCATACTCACTTCTAATCCAGCCTGTTCAAATATTTGAAATATTGAGAGGCCAGCAAACAAACCATAGCAAAAAGAAACTAGCTATCTTCATGCATTTCTAATGTACCTATTATTGTTGCCCCGGGTTCTGAAGACTCTTATCAAATTATGTGTGAAACGGGTCAGAAACATTCAGCTCTGCCCTTGTTTTAGCCACTGACCTGAGCAATACTGCTCTGGTGGTTGCCTCCTACTCCTTTCTTGTGTCTTTATTATTGGATGATGAGCTTTGCAAAGACATTAGTCTGTCGGTGCCCATGCTGTGTAATAACTATAGTCATGTCAGTGTTCCAGCAAAACTATGAATATGGCAACATATGCAAATATTTATCTGCTTGCCTATTTGTTGTAGGTTTGTAACATTTGCAAGGGCAAATATTCTTTTGTCTGGTTTTCCAGTCCTTGCCACTTACTGTCCTTTCTAAATGACAGTCTCTTTATGCAATTCTGCTAAAAAGAACTCATGCTCACTGACATTTTAAACAATGGAACATACATTTGATTTTAATCCTCATGCTGCCTACACAGTTATGGACTAGGTCCTTGTGACAGCATTAAGAAAGGAAAAACATGTTGCATATATAAAAGCAGAAAATGCTCTTCTCATAACAAGCTACATAATTGAGCTGCCAACCCAAAAACGCTTCTGTTTTTATGCTGTAATTTTTAATGGTTTTATGTGCTGGAAGTTTGCCAGGAGGCTCATTAGGGTCCCCATCAAAGAGGGCACAGTCAAAGCGAAATATATTTAAAGGGATACCAGCATGGCTGTTAGACAGAGAACCCTGATTAACCAACATTGTTGCATCTCACAGGTGTCCATGCAACTTGCATGCAAACATGCAGTGCCGCACTTGAGTTCTCCCTGCTTCGAAACAGGCAGAGGATGGAAATTAACAAGGTATCCTGCTCTACAAGAGTATGTTCTGTTTTGTATTTCACCAGCTTTCCTGAGCAGGCAGATCAGAGGCTCACATGCACATCCATCAACTGCATCTGCAGTCACAAACAAACTTTGTAACCTGACTTTGAAAGATCCACCAAGCAGATAAATATTTTATCAGTGTTTCAGGCCTGGGGTGAAGGGTAACACAGATATTTCAAAATCAGCAGGACACATTTTATTTAAGTATAATTTCTGTTGGAGATTCGATTTGGGGTCTGTAAGCCTGGGAAGTCTCCCTTAAAAGTCAGAACTTTATTTTGTCCGTGTGGTTTTTGAACTAACTTATGATTTATTATGGCCTACGGTAATAAAAAATCATGATGCACAAGCTTTTATTGTTTCATTTAGCTACATATTAAATAATGCTACAGTTTTATTGATGGTTCTAATTTCTGTGGAAATTTGTATTAATATTTCACATATGAAGACATGAGAGAGCTACAGTAAAAAGAATCTAATTGTATACAGGGTGTTTGCATGCTCCTTCTTTATTCTACTTTTCTAGTCCTTTTCAGTGATGCTCATTCAGCATTTTGGCTAGATGGGCCTTTCACATCTCAGACATCCAGGGATCCAATCTAGAGTAAGTGGCAATCATCTCTTCACTTTTGACTAGCTCTTAACAGTTCTGAGAAATGGGCTTCTCCGAGATCACAATATTACTACATGTATCAAGATCTTATTTCCCAAAACAATATCCCCAGCAAACCACGTAGATGCTTCCTGGGCTAAAGACCGAGGATCAGATTCTGACAAAAGTCTCAGCACACCTCTGTGTTTACAGGCACAATTTTGGCATGTGCAAACACTTAGGCCAGGTCTACACGGAAAAGTTAGGTTGATCCAGCTACATCGCTCAGGGGTGTGAAAAATGCACAGCCCGAGTGACATAGTTAAACCAATCTAACCCCTCGGGTAGACAGCAATGTTGACAGACGAATTCTTCTGTTGACATATGTCAAGGCTCCTTCCCCACTCTGAACTTTAGGGTACAGATGTGGGGGCCTGCATGAAAACTTCTAAGCTTAACTACCAGCTTAGATCTGGTCCGCTGCCACCACTCCCAATGTGCTAATTCCCTTCCCTGGGTAGCCTTGAGAGACTCTTCACCAATTCCCTGGTGAATACAGATCCAAACCCCTTGGATCTTAAAACAAGGAGAAATTAACCATTCCCCCTCCTTTCTCCCACCAACTCCTGGTGGATCAAGATCCAACCCCCTTGGATCTAAAAACAAGGAAAATCAATCAGGTTCTTAAAAAGAAGGCTTTTAATTAAAGAAAAAGGTAAAAATCATCTCTGTAAAATCAGGATGGAAAATAACTTTACAGGGTAATCAAACTTAAAGAGCTCAGAGGAATCCCCTCTAGCCTTAGGTTCAAAGTTACAGCAAACAGAGGTAAACACCCTAGTAAAAGGTACATTTACAAGTTGAGAAAACAAAGATAAAACTAACACGCCTTGCCTGCCTGTTTACTTACAAGTTTGAAATATGAGAGACTTGTTCAGAAAGATTTGGAGAGCATGGATTGATGTCTGGTCCCTCTTAGTCCCAAGAGCGAACAACCACCAAAACAAAGAGCACAAACAAAAGCCTTCCCCCCACCAAGATTTGAAAGTATCTTGTCCCCTTATTGGTCCTTTGGGTCAGGTGTCAGCCAGGTTACCTGAGCTTCTTAACCCTTTACAGGTAAAAGGATTTTGGAGTCTCTGGCCAGGAGGGATTTTATAGTATTGTACACAGGAGGGCTGTTACCCTTACCTTTATAGTTATAACAACATAGCTACCACCTCTCCGAGAGGTGGATTCACTATGGTGATGGGAGAACCCCTCCTGTCGCTGTAGTGAGTGTCTAAACTGAAACATCACTGCGGTGCTGCTGCAGTGTTTCCAATGTGCTGCTGTAGCTATTTAAGTGTAGACGTAGCCTTATCCAAATGGCAGTGACAGTTGGTCACTAGTTAACTGGGAGTCTAACCCCCAGTTTATACGTGAAATTGTCCTTTGCTCATGGCTAACACAGGTTATTTTCTTGTGCAAAAATTCTGAATGCAAATGTGCCAGTTATTTTTTATAAATATGGCTGTCAGTGTAGAGGATACCTCTAAAATGTTCTGCTTTTTCCTCGAAGGCCATCACACTGGTCTATCTTTTTAGTTGTGGCTTCTTCTGGATCCTATAAATGCTGTTTCTCTATCTACTAAAGGGGTGTGCTAGTCAATTATGTAAGCCACATTTCATCTTTCCAGGGCAAAGCCTATTTCATACTCCCAGCCCCTAACAGGTTGGGGAACAAGCGAATCAACTTGGTGTCCAAT